TTATAACCATTCGTTCATTTGTTTTTAGTGATATAAGGCTTACTATAAACCTATTTTAGATGTTAGGAAAGGAGCAATTTGATGGGATCGTATTAGTGGTTAGCACCCATGAAATCCTTTGCCACAAACAACTGTATTTTGGAAATGTCTCCAGTCCTAAACTAATCGAACCCAATCTTTTTCAAAGGATTCACAATTCTCCATGGTGAAATAATAAAAGTACCCAAATTATCAATAAAATTATAAAAATACCCCTTATTCTTCTCTAGAAATATAAACCTATATACATATAGGGTGCGGTTAACCCAATCTTTTCCAAAGGATTCACAATTCTCCATGGTGAAATAACAAAAGTACCCAAATTATCAATAAAATTATAAAAATACCCCTCCTTCTTCTCTAGAAATATAAACCTATATACATATAGGGAGCGATTTGTATAGAGACTAGGTTGTAAACCATCAAATTAGAGCCTACCTTCAAATAGTATCGAGAAATGTGGTTTCAATAATGGAAATCTTTGTGATAGCCTTAAAATATATTTTCATATTTATTTATAAAGTTCAAAGCTTCAAAAATAGTGTAGATCGACAGATCTATAAAAATCTTGAAAATTGACAGTCCAAAAATGCATTACAAAATACACTATTTTTAAAACTTGAAATCTATTTTTTTCTCATGTCTATGCATCTTGATGTTGAGATGGTCAATTTAAAGATATTTGGGTATCAAAACAACTTTTTTTAATAAAATTTTTTAGATAAGCTCAAATTTGATTGTTTAGAGCCTCGGCTCTATACAAACTTTTCCCAATACAAAAAGGCAAGTGAATAGATGGGTTCAAACTTCAAAGTATTGTTTTTGAGGAAACAGAAAGCATTTCATTCCAAAGCCTCTAAAGCCAAATAAAACAGGCTGCATTAGTGGTCCCACCCCAAAATTCATAACTCATCCTAATAAAGCCAAATAGAAGCTACTTGACTAAGTACATAATGGAAACAACATCTTTATGAGGCAACAACTTTGTCTAGAACATACTTTGAGTTATGACTAAATAAACGATGGAATAGTATGCAAACTATTTATCTTTGGTATAGCATAGTCATATTTAATCTGGACTATTAAATGTGAAATTGGACGTGACATTTGTTCAACTGATCTATCTCAAAGTTCAAAAGAATTTTTCATGAATCTTATAACACATCAAAGCTATTAGATTTCACATCAAATGATTATAAATAATTATGACCTTTTTGTACTAAAAGAAAATGATCTTCTTGTATACAATTCCATAAACAATTCTATCATACATTATGACCAAAGACAGATCACCATAGTAACTGAGAAAAATAAAATAAAATAAATAATGACAACTTGCAAATTAGGAAGTAATAAGAGATTATGGCAATCCAAGAAGCCATAGTCCTAAAAGGCATTGAATCAAAGACTGAAAGAGAGCTCAAGCTTATGATTAAAATCCAATTCTCCCATAACTACTGATAAGAGTGTTATATGAGGATACCTCTCTAGTGAATCTTCGAAAATTTTGTTCGTTTCTTTGAGCTCAGCCGCCTTCAAAACCAGAGATCATTTGGTTCCAAGGGACTGCATCTCTGTGAGACATTTTACCAAACACATTTCGAACATCCGATAAAACCATGGCTTGAACAAAACAAGAGAGCATCAAGTTCTATGTCACTATGACCGGTAGCAACATCAAAGAGGCGGCAAGCTCCCACGATCGAGCCTTTGTGTGTGAGCTCAGTAATGGCTTTGTTTAGAGAGAGAAACATGGTTTTCACAGTTCTGAGAGCTTTCAATGGAATGCTCATCTCTCAGTTATTGTGTCATGACCATTGAAATTTTCTCTCTAGAACTATTACTACAGCTATGGACAACTCCCATGCCCCTAGTTTTGAATTTTTTATAGAGTGAACTATTGCAAGAATAGGGAATTGGGTTTTTAGAGAGAGCGAGTTGTGTGGAATTGAGTTTTTAGAGAGAGAGAGAGAGAGAGTTGTGGAGCGAGAAGTTGCAGAGAATGGCATGACCTGGGACAACATGCGGTCCTACTCTTTTGCTTGCCGTCCACCGTTCCATCCAACGGTTAGAATCAAACCCAAAACGTCAGCCCGAAAGAAAAACGACCGAGTCACGGACTGTGGCCGAATACATAACGAGTTTCTGTCACCATTTGCGCGTGAACAGCAGGTCAAAACCAGCGATTTGAAATTTAAAATACACATTCATTTCATCGATGTATCATTCAATTTCCACGTTAAAAAGTCACATGACACCGTACATGCCCTCTGTAAAACTCAGAGTACGGCAATGGCTTCTTCATCCAGCCAACCTGAATAATATAGACAGAGAAAGAGACGTTTATTCAGGAAGAATAGAGAGAGAAAGAGACGTTTAATCAGGAAGAATAGACAGAGAAGGAGACGTTTCTTTTGGTATGGCCAGGGAGAGAATGTGTGCTACCGAGGGATCACAATCACAAGGAAAACATATGCCCACTCATTGGTTATAAAGCCGAGGAGAGAGCAACCCAATGGTTTACTTTCGCGCATGGTGGAACGAAGAGTAGGCCCCCATTGCTACGGTGGGACCGCCGTAGGGGTCCGGTCGGGTTGGGTCCCCGTCCCAAAAGACCAAAAAATATGGTGTGGGACCTAGACACACATCCAACCAAAAAATTAAAAGCTCTAATTTGCATAAAACCCAAGTTCTAAACAATCAAATTAGTGCCCACTTTCAAATAATGTGGAGAAATGTGGTTTTTAATGTTAGAAATTTTTGTGAAACCCTTAAAATATATGTTTATCTTTAATTATAAAATTTAAAGCTTTAAAAGTAGTGTAGATCAAACAAATATATAAAAATTTAAAAATCTTGAAAATTAATAGTCCAAAAGTACGTTACAATATGCATTATTTTTAAAATTTGAAATCTAGATTTTTCTCTGGTCGATGCATCTTGACATTGAGATGATCATTTTGAATATCTTTGAGCATCAAAATACCCACTTCTTGAAAATTTTGAGGTGGGCTCTAATTTGATTGTTTAGAGCCTAGGCTCTATATGAACTTTTTCCAAAATTAAAATATTTATATATTTATAAAATTTTATTGTTAACTACAAGTTTGGATGTCAAATAAAACGAAGTTTTTCAAATGCTAATTACAAGAAATACCAAGCCTTTTTTCTTTGAATGCGGTTTGTATACAGCTTAGGCTCTAAACAATCAAATTAGAGCCTACCTTCAACTAGTGTCGAGAAATGTGGTTTCAATATTGAAAATCTTTGTGATAGCCTTAAAAAATATTTTAATATTTATTTATAAAGTTTAAAGCTTCAAAAATAGTGTAGATCGATAGATTTATGAAAACTTGAAAATATTGAAAATTGATAGTCAAAAAATGCATTACAAAAACACTATTTTCAAAACCTGAAATCCATTTTTCTTGTGTCTATTCTTCTTGATGTCAAGGTGATCAATTTGAAGATATTTGAACATCAAAGCAACTTCTAGTGAATTTTTTGAGGTAGGCTCAAATTTGATTGTTTAGAGCCTCGACTCTATGTAAACTTTTCTCTTTTTCTTTTCTTATAAAGTCGTTTGGATGTTAAAATCTATTTTTCTCTACTATATTATCCCTCAACAAGAAGAGGACAACTAGGCAATTAATGTTTTCTCTCTCACCTTTCTACGTGTTTCTCCTTTTAACCTTGATGAACCACAAATCCCCTTCTAACCTTGATGAACCACAAATCCGCGAGCAGGATAATGGAGCAAACTATAATGGTGAATTAATGATCTCATTGCTTTTTATCTTCTCTCCTTTAACAAAAGGCTCTAGCTAGCAAACCCTAATGATGAATTAAAGATTTCATTGCTTCCCTCTTATTTTCTTCCCTTCAATAAGAGACCCAAGCTCTTGTTATTCTTGTTCTTATCCTCTCATCTTCTCTGCTTTATTTGAGTTTCTCTCATCTTCTTATCTTATCTTCTCATTTATTTTTTTTTGTGATAGTTGATTTTACCCTTTGAAGATTTCAAATTTTTTTTTTTGTGACAATTGATTTTACCCTTTAAAGATTTCGGGTTGAAGCAGTTTCTATTATCTTCTCATTTCTTTGTGAGAGTTGATTTCCCCGAGATTTCTGGTCGAAGTAGTTGAGAGAGAGAAGATTTGGGATTTCTGTGATAGAGAAAGAGTAGATTGAGTAGAAAAAGAGATAGTAGATTTGGGGTTTATGAGGTAAAAAGAGAAGATTTGGGGCTGATGAAGTTTCAGGGTGTGAATTGTTGAATAACAAGGTGGGGTTTGTACAAGTGAGAGAGCCGCACTTTCATACGGTAATTTTTGTTTTGAATTCATAAAATTTTACTTCAATCTAAAAATATAATAAAACTTTTGGGGTTGTCCAAACAATTCATATCTATTTCACAAGATTTTTAGATTGCAATCCAAAAATATTACAATTTTAGGTACATCAAGACTAGCCTTAAAAAATTTAAATAGAAGCAAGAATAACTCCTTTCTTGGCTAAACCAATAACAATGTATTTAATTGTATTATATTTCACAAATTGAACCCCGACTTAAGTAGTGTTCAAGTCCAAGATTCATACCCATACCCGATCTAAATTGGACCCATACCCGGACTCGGATCTGGTCCCAAGTCCAATCTGCATCCATTGCCACCCCTTAGAGCCTAGCCCAACTAAGTTGGTCCGGGTTGCAAGCTAGGACTCTAGGGCCAGGTTAGGACCCGGTTCAACACGGTTCGGACCTCTTTTTTTCTTCTTTTACTTTTATTTTTTAATTTTTTTTTTTGTTGAGCCTGGGCCTACAGGACTTTGCTGGCAGTAGCGGACAACGGCCGGGTCCATGGAACGGGCGGCCCAGGGTTCATCTCTTGCCATGAAAGAGAAAAGATTAGAAGAGAGGGAAGTATTCAAAATTTTCAAAATCGAACAATTAGAAACTCAACTAGAGAGAGAGAGAGAGTGTTCAAAGAAGCCACACCGGATCCATGAAACAGTAAACAAAACGGGACAAAACATAGTTGCAGAGGAAAGGTTTGAGCCTTCAAAAAAATACATAGAAGCCACATTCACATACAACCAACCATTCATAACCACGAAATCGAGAGTCACTAAAGCCATGAATTCAAAAAACCACTAATTTGAAAACCCATGGCCACACCAAAGAGCCCATGAATTCAGAAACAATGGAAGAAAACCCTAAACTCTAGGGATCACAGAAACCCCAATCCTTCAAAAACACAGAAGAGCAACAATGGAAGAGACCGTGAACCCAAATGTGAGAACCAGGAATCCAAAATACATGGCCCAGTTCCTTTTAAACTTTCCAAAATAAGATGCAGGTGGCTCCTGGTAATGGATCTCGAGCTCCTCTTCCTCTGTTGCAGCCGCATTTCCACTTCTAATCTGCCTTAGCTTCTCAGTAGCTAACCCTAGGGTCAGTTTGTGGCACCTTCTCTGATATTTGAATCCATTGATGCACCTTAGGGTTTGAGCCATGGCTGCATAGAAGATGAGGTGAGCGAGAGATACCAGACCGATAGGTGCCCAACAATGGCGGCATTGAAGGCGAGGAGAGAGAGCCGACGAGGCGAAAGCTAGGGCTAGAAAGACAAAGAAGAGGAGAAAGAACTGGAATAGCTGCTTCTTTTGGAGGTCGACTGCGCGTTTCTTTTCTAGGGTTTTCTCGAAGTGGAGCTGGATAATGGTGTTTAGGGCTTGAAGTGCTGTTTCTTTGGATATAGGTGCGAAACGATTGGAGTTGTCCATCTGGTCTAGATCCGCCATTGAAATCTGGTTTTGAAGGTTATGATGTTTTGAAATGGATTAGGGCTTATGATGCTTCTTCTTCCTTACTGGTTTTAATGCTTGAAGTGAGTACACATTATACAGTGGGTTGTTTAAACTTGGGATAAGGTTTTGGGACACTCAGGGTCGAGGCAATGTTTTGCCGAGAATTGATAATGCCACCCTATTACCTAGAACAGTGTGTAGGGTACCCTAACTTGAGTAGCATAATGTAAAATTACTCAAAACTAAATAGGTACTTTAGAAAATTATTTTATATAATATTTTGGAATCCAATTTAAAGGATATTGCTTGTATAAGGCATCTTCTTAAATGTGGCCATCTAAATTTTGTCTAGATATATAGTGTTGGTGTGGGAAACTTTATGATGGTTTGAATATTTATTTTAGTGTCTAGTCATGAAATTTGAAATTTAAAAAATGATACAAATCCAATAGATTTAAAAAACCATAAAAGTCGTAAAAATAGATAGTCAAAGAAAATTTGTTACAAGATTCACAACTTTTAAGATTTATACACTCATTTTATTGGTATCATGTTTTTTGACCTCCCAACTTTTCTCATTGAGTAAAGTTGGTCTCACAAGTACCCTATAGAATTTGTCATTCAGCTTTACTATGTAATTGAGCCAAAACTTTTTGGGTTCTGAGTTCATAGATAGTTAGGTCTTGTCATCCGAAAATTGGATGGTTTATGTTCGCATATAAGGGAGTTATTATTCCCAAACCCATGTAAATGCATAGGAATTCACTTCTTTCGTAGGCTAGTTTGAAGTAATTACATCTTGGTCTCATGTATCTTTTTCTATTTTTTTTGAGGTTATGGAGTTATATCCCAAAATTTGGATTCCCAAAGATGTTGTATGGAAATTGAAATCTATAAATTTTTAAAATAGATAATTTTGAAAATTATAGATTCCAAACTGGAGTTTCTATTTTCTCTTGCTTGGAAGCTAATTAATTCATGGATTATTTCTAAGAATTCCTACTTCTATTTGGGTTAATCAACTAGTTTTCAGTAAATATTTGTTAGGTATGTTATCAAATAATTTATTGTAAAAACCGTTTATCTTTGTCATATGAAAGTCACAATTGCTACTAGCCATTACATCACATTGGATGGCATAGGTTATGCCATAAAGTTTGATAATTTATTTTTGAAAAATGATCATACAGAACCCTTTCCCATCTATGTGTGTAGGATACCAAAGGATCACTGTTAAATTTAGCATGGATCTCTAAAAAAGTCAAGTTTTACACACATGTGATAATCTCTCTAAGGATCCGTGCCAAATTTAATGGTTATCTTTTGGAGTCTACACATATAGGTGGGGGAGGGTCCTATAGGATCATTACTCTTTATTTTTTTGTTGGAACTTTAACTTTAGTAAATGACACCCTCCCAACCACCCGATTTGAAATATGATGGAGAAGAGTGATTGTGAACTCCTTATATTAAAAATAAAAGATCTCTTTGTATTTTTTTCCTAATATATAATTGAAATTAATGGAAAGAATCATAGCTATCTAACGACCACCCCTCTCTTAGTCTCCCCCATTTCGTGCCAATGATACAACAACTTTCTTCTCCCATTTTCTCAATGTAAAAACATGGAAGCTTCATTGCATAGACCTATCGTATTGTCCAACATCAAGTGTCGACAAGCCTTTGTAACTTTCAAAGCGCCTTAGTAGCTTTCAAACCACCAACATGTCAAGAGAGGTATTCCTCCTCCCACCTAAAAAGCACAACATATAGTTGAGATTTGAGAAGAACTAAATGAGTTTGGTAGTTTAGTTAGAGGAATTTTGCAGCACTAGTTAAAAAATGAATGCACTCAACTTAGGATGCTGTTTGGATGAACAATGGTCCTTTTGTTGTCTTCAAGGTTTTAAAAAAAAGGATCTATGATTGAATCGGTCACACTCATACCTGTGTTGGAGTGGGAGAATTGGTAGCTCGGATCGGAAGAATCGGCAGAATCGGTAATTTTTGTCTCAATTTTTTTTTTAAAATAATTCAAGAAAAAACTGTTCATCTTGTTTTTCGCTTGACTCGGTGAAGAATCGTCGGAATTAGTGATTGCGTGAAAACATCGGTGAGTCTACTATTCTGAATCGATCGAATCTTAATTTTTTACTAGATCCAGGATGGTCATGGGCGATTCTCGATCTGGATTGTACGATTCGGGATCGGGCCACCAATTTTTAAATCATTGGTTTTCTTCCTTGACAAAAGGAGAATCACTTACATCCATTGAAGGCTCAAAACTTGCCCACCCTTTGTTAGTACGTAGGCTTGGAAATGGGCCATACAGCCCGGCCCAGCCTAGTTGGCCCGACCCTCAAAAAGTAAGCCCTGGTCTGTGCTAGGGCCAGTGCCGGACTGGACCGGCATGTCCCAACTCCCTCTTTTTTTTCTTTTTCATTTGGTTTTTGTGGGCTAAGTGAGATGATGAGCTTGTAACTCTAAAAGGTATTTCTCGCTCTAAAAAATTTCTCTCTCTTAAATAACAAAACAAAAAATTGAAGTCTTTATAGGCATCCATTTTTCTTGAATTAAAATGTAATTTCCTATTAGGTAAAAATGACCAAAATAACCCTCCCACAATGCAAGAAATGACCAATTGACCCCCTTTGAAGAAGGCCTAAGTCATGGGTACCATCCAGGGGCATTTCGGGGGCTTTTCAATTGATGATCCATTGTCGTAGAAATGATATTCAATTTATCACGATCGTTTTGAAATCCATTTTGACACTAAATCGTACTTTTTGACAACAAATTTCTTCATCACAACTTGGATAGGATCGCATCACGGTCATTTTGTGAAAAAAAAATCATCAAAATTGATGGTCATTTGAACTTGTTCTCAATTTGGAAAGTCGTCGGAAAATGGGATTCCGGCGACCAAAAAAAGTGTCATTTTTATCTTCAAATTGTGCTCAATCCGACCTTTCATCCCGCTTGAATTTTACCTCATATTGTTCGTCTTCATCCCACGATCGCAACACATCCATTTTCATGACGGTCCGATGTCAGGATCTCAAAATATACCCACTTGATCAATCACCATATTCTCTTTTCAAACCATTCAATTTCGAGCCAAACTTCTCTTTAAGAATTCTCTTCATTCGCTCATCATTTCAAGGAAAATTTTATATCAAAATGTAGGTGTCGCCGAGATGAACCTTGTCCTGAAATTTGGGCTCGATTGTGATCGGGATGAAGGAGATAGGGCCATTCAAAAATCAATCTCGAGCACAAAAGTAGCAGGTTCCTTGCAGTCTTACCCAAATAGTGTACAACCTATCCATTTTAGGTAAGTTGGGCATAGAGAGTCTAGAACCATATTTCATCTTTATAGGTCTTAAATTTGTCGGATTGGGCTGAAATTTTGGGAGGATCTTTAAAACACCTCAAGCCACCATATTACAAATTTTTGGTTCATTCTGCCACCTTTCCAAATAACTGCTTTATTTGATTTGTGCTTTTGTCGTCCGGAAGCATTGTTAGCATTGGCAGGACCAGGTCGCGACTGGCTCCTTTTTTATTCGTGCTGGGAGCTAAGTTAGTAAAAAATACCCTATAACATCTACCAAACATATGCTTGATGTATAAGAAAGATTTTGAAACAGAGGCTCATCGCTTTCTTCATTGCTAATTTGCTACCAAGATATGGCATTGGTTTTTCTTAGTGTTGGGTATTTGCATGTCAGTGCCTCAATTTTTTTTTGGGAATGTTACAAACCTGGCATTGCCAAGTCTACCAAAGACTGAAAAAGTTATATGGAAGATTGCCCGAGGAACTATTATGTGGGAAATTTGGTTGGAGCGAAATAATAGTGCTTTTGAAGGGAATTGCCTCCCCTTTGAGAGGATACTTCTCAAAATCAAGCACTCCTTCTGGTGTTGGCTAGCTGCAACGAAGGAAGGTGGGGCATTTTGGAGGTGGATGTTTTGACTCAGCTTCACAATATAATCTCTTTGGGTTCAGTTAGGAATTGGCCAATGAGTGTTGGGCAACCACCTCCTCTAGGTGCACTCAAGTTAAACTATGATGGCAGTTCACTGGGTGGTCCAGAGATGGCAGGCATGGGGGGGGGGGGGAGGAGGGTGGGGTGTGATTCATGACTCCAATGGTCTTATTCTACTCACTTATGCAGGTTCGATTGATGAGGACACGATTAAGGGGAGGGGGAGGAGGAGGAGGGAGGGGGAGGGGGAGGGGGGGTGAGGACGGTGGGGTGTGATTCATGACTCCAATGGTTTTATTCTACTCACATATGCAGATTCGATTGATGAGGCCACGATTAATTTTGCTGAGATGACTACATTTTTTCAAGGTTTAAAACTTATTGGAGCTAACTTTAGGGATAGAGTATACATCATTGAAGGTGATTCGTTGAATGCCATCCATTGGTGCAAAAAGGAGATAAGGATTCATTGAAAAATTAAATCTTTGTGGCTCCAAATACTTGACCGGGTGATGGGGCTTTCTATTTCTTTTCAGCATGTTTTTAGGGAAGCAAACTTTTTAGCTGATTCCCTTGTGAAAGGGGGTGCCTCCTTGTCCTCTCTTATTGTTTTTGCCGATGTAATTTCATGTGGATAGACACTTCTATTAAGAATAAGTTTTGCTATTGGTCAAAAAAAAGAGAAAAGGGGCTAGGCTAAGGTGTAGAGTTCTCTTAACGTGAATTCTATTTATAGTTGTTTTGGGTAGGGTTTACCTTCTCAAAATAGTAATATGGATTGTTAATTTGAGCTAAGCTGTGAGATAAACCGAGGATTTTCGTCTAATCGTCCATTCCCTAAACTAATCATTACGATGGAGGGTGGATATAGAACCATTATCCTATAGAATTCCTTGGCATTATCTCTACTAATTCAATTAGGCTTAGAATTCTAATCTTAAGAACAATTCCAACCCATGACCCACGGTCCATGTAGGAGGTCATGATTAGATCATCAAAACTAGCCAATAAATAGTGGGAACATGAGACAAATGTGTGGAGTCTAAGATAGACCTCAAAGACAAGTCATGTCCCACATGGACATGAGTGTATTAATGCGATATTTCAAAGGATCCTCCCTTTAGCACATCTACATGCACTACCCTCCCATGTTGCTTCCTATTGATTTGTCTATCATGTGTACATGACGTGTAGTGATAATATCGAGGATTTGGCTCTTGCCCTTACAAGCCGCCAACCATACATAAGAGATTGGCCACCCCTCGGCTA